CTGGTGCAATGACATGTGCTGGAATTTGAATCCTCTTCCAGGGGTCTCAGAGAGTCCTACTGACAGGTCACAGGCTATCTCTCCTCAAGATTTCACCCCTGCCAGCCAGTCTTGTCCTGATGCAGTGGATTTGAATGCAAGATCTGCTATTCCTATCTTTACTTGGCTAGAATATAGGTCATAGTTTTTTTAGGCTGAGGAATTTCTGACTAATTTCTAACACTCCTCTATATTATTTATTTTTAATTTCTTTTTAAGCTTCCATATTGTTTTAAATACTGAATTTTTTTTTTCTTTCTCCCTTTTTTTTTTTTTTTTTTTTTTTTTTCCGGATACTCCTTTTTTTTTTTTTTAGATGAAGTCTCACTCTGTTGCTCAGGCTGAGTGATCTTGGCTCACTGCAATCTCTGCCTCCTGGGTTCAAGCAATTCTCCCACCTCAGCCTCCCAAGTAGCTGGGATTACAGATGTGCGCCACCACACCCAGATAAATTTTGTATTCTTAGTAGAGACAGGTTTTCACCAGGTTGGTCAGGCTGGTCTTAAAATTCTGACCTTAGGTGATCTACCTGCCTCAGCCTCCCAAAGTGCTGGGATTACAGGTGTGAGGCACTGTGCAGTTACCTGCAGTCATTCTTGGTCCTAAAATATTAAATGAAGAATTCCAGAAGTAACACTTGATAAGTTTTTTTTTAATTTGTTTTGAAACAGAGTCTTGCTATGTTCCTTAGGCAGGAGTGCAGTAGCATAAACTCGGCTCACTGCAACCTCCAACTCCCAGGTTCAGGCGATTCTCCTGCTTCAGTCTCCTGAGTATCTGGGATTACAGATACGTGCCACCATGCCCAGCTAATTTTTTTGTATTTTTAGTAGAGATAGGGTTTTATCATTTTAGCCAGGATGGTCTCAAACTCCTGACCTTGTGATCCACCCGCCTCAGCCTACCAAAGTGTTGGGATTATAGGCGTGAGCCACCGCACCAGGCCCAATAAACACTTGGTAAGTTTTAAATTGCATGAAGTTCTGAGTAGCATAATAAAATCTCATGTCTTCCTGCTCCATCCTGCCTGTGATGGGAGTCATCACTTGTTCTAGTGTTGCCCTGCTATATCCCCTCCACACCCCTGAGTCACTCAATAGCCATCTCAGTTAACAGGTCAATTGTTGTGGTATCATAGTAATCCTTATTTTACTTTATAATGGCCCCAAGACGCAAGAGTAGTGATGCCTGCATATTGTTATACTTATTTTATTACTAGTTATTATTAGTTTTATTATTAGTTATCTTACTGTGCCTAATTTTTTTTTTTTTTTTTTGAGACAGAGTATCCCCCGTCACCCTGGCTGGAGTGCAGTGGCTCGATCACCTCCGCCACCTGGGTTCAAGCGATTCTCCTGCCTCAGCCTCCTAAGTAACGGAGATTATGGCTGCCTGCCATCATGCCCAGATAATTTTTGTATTTTCAGTAGAGATGGCGCTTCACCATATTGTCCAGGATGGTCTTGAACTCCCCTCAAGTGATCTGCCTGCCTCAGCTTCCCAAAATGCTGGGATTACAGGCATGAGCCACCATGCCTAGCTTCTTGCCTAATTTATAAATTGAACTTGTCGGCCGGGCGCGGTGGCTCACACCTGTAATCCCAGCACTTTGGGAGGCCGAGGTGGGTGGATCACGAGGTCAAGAGATCGAGACCATCCTGGTCAACATGGTGAAACCCTGTCTCTACTAAAAATACAAAAAATTAGCTGGGCATGGTGGTGCGTGCCTGTAATCCCAGCTACTCAGGAGGCTGAGGCAGGAGAATTGCCTGAACCCAGGAGGCGGAGGTTGCGGTGAGCCGAGATCGCGCCATTGCACTCCAGCCTGGGTAACATGAGTGAAACTCCGTCTCAAAAAAAATAATAATAATAAATTAATTAATTAATTAATTAAACTTTATCATAGGTATCTATAAGAAAAAACATAGTATACGTAAGGTTCAGTACTATCTGCAGTTTCAGGCATCTCCTGGGGTCTTGGAAGTATCCTCCCAGATAATAAGCACTACTGTATTGTGTGACTTTGCTTAGTAGCTTTAGATGCAAAAGTAAGTGTATTAAAGAGATTATCTTTAATAAATATTTAGGAGTTTTTAAGAACAGGCATTTCATTTTTAGACTCATAGCTTGAAGGGACCTTAGAGGCCAGGTCATGGGGTATAGCCTTATTTTGCAGATGATGAAGCTGGTGTCCTAGTGTATAAATGACTTTCTCACATTCATACAACTGGTAAGTGACAGAATCAGGATGAGGCAGAGTCTTCCTCATAAGACTTCCAGCACTTTTCTATTACACTGAATTTTGTATACATGTTATCTCTCCCCAAAGTCGTGAGTTAATGAAAGACAGAAGTCATATCCATTTATCTAAATTTTTTTAACCTTTTTTTTCTGAGATGGAGTTTTGCTCTGTCACCCAGGCTGGAGCGCAATGGCATGATCTCAGCTTGCTGCAACCTCTGCCTCCTGGGTTCAAGCAATTCTTCTACCTCAGCCTCCTGAGTAGCTGGGATTACAGGCACACGCCACCAAGCCCAGCTAATTTTTTATATTTTTAACAGAGACAAGATTTCACCATATTGGCCTGGCTGGTCTGGAACTCCTCCAGACCTCATGATCCACCCACCTCAGCCTCCCAAAGTGCTGGGATTACAGGTGTGAGCCACTGCACCTGGTCTTATCTCAATTTTTATGAAAGATAAAAAATTATAATGCCTGGGAAATACAGCTGCCAAATAGCAGATGCTTAGTTAATTCTCTTTGAATTGAGTTCTTACATAATGAAACATTCTTCTTGGTCTCATGTTCATGAGAAGCCACTCTATTCACTGAATATTTAATGATGCCTTACTGTGTGCTAAGTGCCAGACTAAGATAAAAAATGACAATTAAAATGAAGATCTCCTTTCAGTTTTGGGTCTATATTAAAATATTACTGTGGGGTTGTTAAATTTCTCAATTAGAAAGGGAAGGAAGTGAATTTTCAACAGAGCTACTTCCCTTTTACAGACTCATTTGCATTTCCTAAAATTCTAGTGCTAACAGGAACTTAGGTTACCTAAGATCACATTGTCAATAATGGCAAATCAAGGACGAGAATGAAATCAGCTCCCTCAAAATCCAATATACCTTCTATTACAAAGAATCCCTTTCTTTTGCATTTTTGGAATAACATATAATACAATGGTTAAATTTATGAGTGTTAAGAAAATGGAAATCCATGTCTCTTCTGGACCAGCTATCAAAACACCTAAAGAGGGATATGGAAAGAAAGTGTTTGGGAGAACAGAGCCATTGATTCATAGTCAAAAGAACAGAAGATGCCCTAATTATCTGTGTCAAATTATGGAATATTACAGGCACGCACCACCACATCTGGCTAATTTTTGTATTTTAGTAGAGATAAGGTTTTGCTATGTTGGCCAGGCTGCTCTCCAACTTCTGCCCTCAAGTGATCCGCCTGCCTCAGCCTCCCGAAGTATTGGGATTACAGGCATGAGCCACTGTACCCAGCCTAAATTTAAAAAAAAATTTTTTTTTTAATTTTAGACAGAGTTTCGAAATCATTGCCCAGGATGGAGTGCAATGGCGCAATCTCGGCTCACTGCAACCTCCGCCTCTGGAGTTCAAGAGATTATCCTGCCTCAGCCTACCAAGTAGCTGGATTACAGGCATGTGCCACCACGCCCGGCTAATTTTGTATTTTTAGTAGAGATGGGGTTTCACCATGTTGGTCAGGCTGGTCTTGAACTCCTGACCTCTGGTGAACTGCATACCTCAGCCTCCCAAAGTGCTGGGATTCCAGGCATGAGCCACCATGCCCAGCCTAAACATTTTTTAAATTTAAAATATAACAGAGACGGCTGGGTGTGGGGGCTCATGCCTGTAATTCCAGCACTTTGGGAGGCCAAGGTGAGAGGATCATGAGGTCAAGAGATTGAGACCATCCTGGCTAACACAGTGAAACCCGTCTCTACTAAAAATACAAAAAATTAGCCCAGTGTGGTGGCACGCACCTGTAGTCCCAGCTGCTTGAGAGGATGAGGCAGGAGAATCAACTGAACCTGGGAGGTGGAGGTTACAGTGAACCGAGATCGCACCACTGCACTCCAGCCTGGGTGATGGAGCAAGACTCCATCTCAAAACAAGACAAAACAAAAAAAGCAACAACAGAGGCAGGGTCTCGCTATATTGCCCAGGCTGGTCTCGAACTCCTGGGCTCAAGCTATCCGCCTACCTTGGCCTCCTGACGTGCTGGGATTACAGGCGTGAGCCACTATGTCCAGCCAAAAATATGTTTTGACTCTGCACTTTCATCCTTGGATAGCAATATACTTTGTAAACATGAATTGGCTGTTATCTAACCTTGTGTCTTAAAGTCATAGACTGTCATTTCTTCATCTCACAGAGGAATGAACTCAGTTCCAGAGAGTTTTGTAGAATTATCTCAGCATAGTTCGTAAGTATGACTAAGCCAAGCAAAATTTAAGCCTAAGAGCTTAAATTCCTAATAAGGATTTGGCCACCTTGATGTGATCTGGGAATCTGGGAGTTGTGCAATCCTTACAATTTGTTCCAGCTCTCAAGCAAGGACTAAGAAGGTAGGGAGAAGGCTACCCTTCATTAAACTCTGTCTGGCCTTTTGCCAGGTTAGCTATTTAATCCTCCCAGCAAATATTCCCCCATTTCTCAGATAAGGAAATTGTTTCAAAGAGGTAAAGTAACTTCTGCAAATTCACATACTTATAGTGAGAGGCAGAGTCAGCATTCAAACCTTTCTTTCTGACTTCTTGAGTTCATGTGCTTGATTGAAACTGTGAAATTATAAATTTAGAGATCTGGGCTCTAGGCTGATTTTGCCATCAAACTGAAACATAACACTGATGAAAAACAAAGGAAGCCCATGACTGAGCAGAGGTCCAGCCCCTCTGCTCAGTCATGGGCTTCCTTAGTTTATTCATTACCTCACAGGGGGACACAAGTGGATCCATGTAGTAGGCCTCCTGACTTCATCTTTCTTCCCTGCATAAATATCATTCATTTGACCATTTTATATGGCACCATATGCTGGAGCAATGACAACATTTGATGAGTTATTTTGAAAAATTGAAACTCCAAGATTAATGCTGTTAAGAATCAGCCCAACCTTAGTTCTCTTTCCCATCTTGCAAGATGGCGGTGAAAACGTTGAGAAGCTGGATACTAAAGAGAAGAAACCTGAAGCTAAGAAGGCTGATGCTGGTGGCAAAGTGAAAAAGGGTAACCTCAAGGCTAAAAAGCCCAAGAAGGGGAAGCCCCATTGCAGCCACAATCCTGTCCTTGTCAGAGGAATTGGCAGGTACTCCCGATCTGCCATGTATTCCAGAAAGGCCATGTACAAGAGGAAGTACTCAGCTGCTAAATCCAAGGTTGAAAAGAAAAAGAAGAAGAAGTTTCTTGCAACTGTTACAAAACCAGTTGGTGGTGACAAGAATTGCGGTACCGGGTGGTTAAACTTCGCAAAATGCCTGAGTATTATCCTACTGAAGATGTGCCTCGAAAGCTGTTGAGCCATGGCAAAAAACCCTTCAGTCGGTACGTGAGCAAACTGTGAACCAGCATTACCCCCGGGACCATTCTGATCATCCTCACTGGGCACAGCAGGAGCAAGAAGGTGGTTTTCCTCAAGCAGCTGGCTGGTGGCTTGTTACTGGACTTCCGGTCCTCAATCAAGTTCCTCTATGAAGAATGCACCAGAAATTTGTCATTGCCACCTCAACCAAAATTGATATCAGCAATGTAAAAATCCCGAAACATCTTACTGATACTTACTTTAAGCAACAGCAGCTGCGGAAGCCCAGATGCCAGAAAGGTGAGATCTTCAACACAGAAAAAGAGAAACATGAGATTACAGAGCAGCGCAACATTGATCAGAAAGCTGTGGACTCACAAATTTCACCAAAAATCAAAGCTTTCCTCAGCTCCAGGGCTACCTGCGATCTGCGTTTGCCCTGACAAATGGAATTTCTCCTCACAAATTGGTGTTCTAAATGTCCTAAAAATCTAATTAAATAACTGATTACCTTTTGGGAAAAAAAAGAATCAGTCAAAACTGGATGTTTTTCATATGCAGAAATAATCTATTTACATGGAAGAGGCCAGAGAAAAAAAATAAATAAAAATACAAGTAAAATAGAGATAATCCAGAGAGATAACTTACCAGTCGCTTGTCTATCTCCTAAGTCTCATCAAGAGGGCTTCTGTAAACTGGTGAGAGGATGTTGAGGGGGAATTGCCTGGAGGGAAGATGACTGAAAAGGAGACTTAAAAGGCCTACGAATGGGGCATGGTGGCTCAGGCCTATAATCCCAGCACTTTGGGAGGCCGAGGTGGGTGGATCATGAGGTCAGGAGTTTGAGATCAGCCTGGCCAATATGATGAAACCCCGTCTCTACTTAAAATACAAAAATTAGCCGGGCGTGGTGGCACGCACCTGTAATCCCAGCTACTCAGGAGGCTGAGAAAGGAGAATCGCTTGAAACGGGGTGGCGGGGAGGTGGCAGAGTTTGCAGTAAGCTGAGATCGTGCCGCTGCACTCCAGCCTGGGAAACAGAGCAAGACTCTGTCTCAAAAAAAAAAAAAAGAACCAGGAATTCAGAGGGACCTGAGGACGAGGAGCTAAGTGTAAGTGTATGTGGGGGGAGGGCAAAGATGGGGATGGTGGGGAGTTAGACCAGGGGAGGAAAAGGAGGAAGGACAGAGGCTTTCTCTTTTCTGCAGCTCCTTGGCCTGGCTGCTCTGCCCACAGCAATTGCATGTATCTTAGGGCCTTTTCACATTCCAGGAGCTGGCAGTGCCCTCAGCCAGGTATAGAGCCCTGTTGGGTGGGTTGGTTTGTCTTTTACCCCCTTTTGTATATTTTTTTACTTTTCTAAAATATATAGAGAGATGGGGTTTCTCTATGTTGGTCAGGCTGGTCTCAAACTCCCGACTTCAGGTGATCCTCCCCCTTTTGAATAGCAACTCCCTTTGGCAGGCTGATGCCTTGGAGAACATCATTGGACGTACTTCACGCCAGATATGACATGTTTTCAAACTGCAGGCTCCTGGACACTGAGCCTCCTGCCTTCTCAGATGAAAACTTCTTTTCATATTTTAGTAGGTCATTCACAGTCCCCACCTCATTCAGCCTCCATGGATGCTGCTGCCCCCAAGTTCTCCTAATGCCACATCCCTAGCACTCTGTCTCCCTGACTCATTTATTTTAGTTTAGTTTTAGGTTTTCTTTTTTAAATCAAACATTGTTTATTACATAGGTATTTATTACACAATGATGGGCTGTTACTGATACTCATGATAGTAGGATTCCTGGTAACAAGCACGGGCACCAGGGCCTCCAAACTTTCTGGATTTGCAGCGACGGGGGTCAGCCACCATCAGAGTCCAATCATACTGGATGAGATCACCTTTGACCTCCTTGGAAGCCACTTCCACATATTTCTGGTAATAGGCCACCAGGGCTTTGGAGACAGACTGACAGATAGCATAAATCTGAGCCACCTGACCATCACCCTTCACTAGGACATGTATGTCCATGACAGCAAATCACTCCTTGCCCAGAAGCAGACTGGTTTCAGCAGCTTGTACTGCAGCGTGCACAGCTCCATCATCTCCAGGGGCTACCTGTTCACTTTCATGAGGCCGCTCCCACCTTTGCAGCCTCCACGGCTGTGGCCATCTTCCTCTTCTGTCCAAAGACCTGTATGGACTTCAGCAGGCTCTTGGCCCACATGGCTATGGGCATAGATAAGAGATCCTCACCGTGCAGCACTGCCACTGGAAAAGCCGGTGTCATATATTTCAATGCAAACATTTTATAGAACACCTAGGGAATACCTTAGAGTTCTTTCTGTTTTCTTTTTCGAAATAAAGGCAAAAGTTAGTGGACCCATAACACACAAGGAACCAGCAAGTGATAGATTCCTCTTATTTCTCAGTGGCTTGTCTAATGCAATTACTGATTTTGGATAATTCATCTACCATTCATCCGTTCATTTCACCCTCAACATAACACACCAAAAAAAAAAAAAAAAAAATCCTAGCAAGCTTCTTTGTCAAGAAACAGGCCAGGCATGATGGCTCATGCCTGTAATCCCAGCACTTCAGGGGGCTGAGGTGGGCAGATCACCTGAGGTCAGGGGTTCAAGACAAACCTGGCCAACATGGTGAAACCCCATCTCTACTAAAAATACAAAAATTAGCCGGGCATGGTGGTACACCCCTGTAGTCCCAGTTACTCGGGAGCCTGAGACAGGAAGATGGCTTGAATCCAGGATGTGGAAGTTGCAGTGAGGCGAGATTACACCACTGCACTCCAGCCTAGGTGACAGAGCAAGACTCTAAATCTCTCAGCATGTTACCTGAAAAGAAGAAAAGCAGAAAGGAAGGAGAATGGAAAGAAACCTAAAGACTATGGGTAGTAAATGGCATTTAAGCTGGGACTTTCTCTCATATCATGTAATTTTTTTTTTTTTTTTTTTTTTTTGAGACGGAGTTTCGCTCTTGTTACCCAGGCTGGAGTGCAATGGTGCGATCTCGGCTCACCGCAACCTCCGCCTCCTGGGTTCAGGCAATTCTCCTGCTTCAGCCTCCTGAGTAGCTAGGATTACAGGCATGTGCCACCATGCCCAGCTAATTTTTTTTGTATTTTTAGTAGAGACGGGGTTTCACCATGTTGACCAGGATGGTCTCGATCTCTTGACCTTGTGATCCACCCACCTCGGCCTCCCAAAGTGCTGGGATTACAGCCTTGAGCCACCGCGCCCGGCTCTCTCATATCATGTAATTTTAAAACCAGTAATTATTCTGCCATTGAAGATACTCCAATTTTATTTGATACGGAGTCTCACTCTTTTGCTTTGCCCAGGCTGGGAGTGCAGTGGCACAATCTCAGCTCACAGCAACCTCTGCCTCTGGGGTTCAAGCAATTCTCCTGCCTCAACCTCCCCCTGCCTCAGCCTCCCAAGTAGCTGGGACTACAGGTATGTGCCATCATACCTGGGAAATTTTTGTATTTTTAGTAGAGATGGGGTTTTACCATGTTGGCCAGTCTGGTCTCCAACTCCTAACCTCAAGTGATCCACCTGCCTCAGCCTCCCAAAGTGCTGGGTTACAGGCATGAGTCGCCCCTGGCCTGTTTTTTTTGTTTGTTTGCTTTTTTGTTTGTTTTTTCTAAGACAGGGTCTCACTGTGTCACCCAGACTGGAGTGCAGTGGCTCAATCACAGCACACTGCAGCCTTGACCTCCCAGCTCAGGTGATCCTCCCCCCTCAGCCTCCCAAGTTGCTAGTGAAGTTTTGTTTGTTTTTTTTTAAGTGAAAATAATTTTTTGTGGCCATTACTATACCAGTCCCAGAACTCTGTGAAGCACAGCTCTGAAAGGAGCTGCTTCAAAGTATTATCTTGCTTCAATTACTTCAGGGATTTAGATTCATTTAACACAATAAATACAGTATAGATAAGAGAAGGCAAAGAGGTGAGAGGAGGGGGAAGTCTGAGAATATGTTGCCAAGATTTTCTTTCTGTAGAAAATGACTGTTAAAGAAGGAAGAGCTCATTCTCTTATCCTTTGAAATCTCACAGCTTCATAATCCTCCCCAAACCTGACCTTCCTTTCAGCTTGTATTGGAAACTCTCCCGTACTGAAGTCTATTGTCCAACTCAAATGATAACCTTTCCTATTTTCCTTCCTCTTGCCCACCCTATTATAATAGATGGCATGGTTTTTGCTTTCATTAAAACTTTTTTTGTAACTAATGTTTATTTTCATCAAAATATTCCATGCAGCTAGTCTAGGGGTCAAAAAATGCTAAAAAGGCTTAGACCAAAAGCAACAAACAGTTCCACTCCTGCCCCTTCATCACTTCCTGCCCCTCAGAGGCAACTACTGTACTCGACTTGTTCAATTTATCACTTTGTGGGTATATAGTAAGAGTAGGAAAACAAAATTTATTGTTTTGGACATTTATCTCTGTATTTCTAAGAAATATGTAGAAATATCTAAGAAATATCTCTATTTTGTCACCCAGGCTGGAGTGCAGTGGTTCACTGCAACCCGTACCTCCTAGGTACCAGGAATTCTCCTGCCTCAGCCTCCCAAGTAGCTGGGATTACAGGTGTGCACCACCACCATCAGGTAATTTTTGTACTTTTAGTCTCGAACTCCTGGCCTCAAGTGATCCACCAGCCTCAGCCTTCCAGAGTGCTAGGATTACAAGGCATGAACCACAGTACTTGGCCAGCACAGCAATTTTTATGTTAGCCAATTGTGAAGAGCTTACACATGTAAACTGACTATCTGATCAAGTTTATTGTTCTTCAAAATTCACATAGGCCCAGCTACTAGGGAGGCTGAGGCAGGAGGACTGCTTGAGCCCGGGAGGTTAAGGATATAGCTGAAAATAATTGTGCTTGTGAATGCCCCCTGCACTCCAGCCTGGGCAACACAGCAACAGTGACTTCAGTTTCGTTCAAGTTGGTCCAAACCATTGGATGTGTGCAGCCTAGGCTTTGAATGTGGCCCAACACGAATTCGTAAACTTTCTTAAAACATTACCAGATTTTTTTTGAGGTTTTTTTTTTCCTTTGGCTCATCAGCTATCGTTAATGTTAGCCT